GACTCAGCAAATAAAAATCCTGGACACCTGGATAAACTTGAATTTCAGATGAGCAAAGAATGATTCCTTTTAATATAAGTACGCCCCGTGCAATATTTAGAACACATTTACACTAAAAAGTAAAAAGGGGTCATTTATCTGAAAATCGCATTTAACTGGGCATACCGTGTCTTACATGACAAACCCACCCTCTGTCCTTCACCAGGAGGCGTCTCACTCTGGAGCCAGGCTGCGCTGATGGCATCCTGACTCTGTTGAAGGGTAGCTGTGTGACTAGCTCCCAAATCTAAGGAGCGGGGCTAACGTTAAATCCACTTCTAGGTAGATGTGGGGATAAAGGAGGTGGAAGGTGTATACTAGTAAGTCCGAGTTACGCCTGTGTAAATGTTGCATATCCTCCCAGGACTCACAGTTCCTATTACCTGGGTTTATTGTAGGGGCTGATGCTTGCTTCAATTCTAGAACCTTCCATGGAGCCTCAGATGCCGACATCAGTCTGTCCCAAAGGCAGGGATAGCAGGAGAGAGGGTTGGGGTTAAGAACCGCAGAGCAAATCTGGACCTGACTCACTGTTTTTGTGATGGGGTGCAGGCAGAGTTGAAGCAGAGTGTGAAAGCTAGTGTGGGGGCTGGAGTCAAGGCCCTGAACCCTCAGGGCCCTTGGGTCTCATTTGCCCTAGAACGCTAGCCCTGGTAGTCCATACTTTTGAAGAATGTCCCAGAAAACACCACCCCTGCTTTCAGAATGTCAGTCAAGGCAAGGCCTTTGGGCACTGCCAGCTTAGACAGAAGATAAAGCTTGCAGGATGTACCCATTCAGCTAGGAGAGCTGTGCTCCCAGTGAGCAAGGACCAGCACAGAGCCCTGCATGTAGGATCCCCAGGTCCGCCTCCCTGGGTCTTTCCCTCAGTGATGGCCTGGGGCTCGCAGAACTTGCTCCAGAGGTCCATTGGGGATTGCATAGCCAGCCAACAGCTGCTGAGCCCTGGCCCGGAAACAGGACTCCAAGAGGCACCCTAGACCTCTGTCATGGAAGTGAAGTACGTCCCTGCACAAGCTCCCAAGGCCTTGCTGATGTTCTAGAAGCCAAAGATGCTGGTCCCAAAGAATGGTGCCATTGCCCCAGGAAGCTCTGCCCTGTTGGCCAGGGTCTTCCGCCACCCTGAGCCTGGGGCACCTTGACGTCAAAGCTGAGATATTAGGCAAAGAAGCAAATGTGACAAATTCAGAGAAGGCAAGCTACAGTACTATGTCAATATCTTCCCGCGGTCCTTCTCTGTGCCAAGGGGTTTCACACTTAGTATGTCCCAGTACCAGCTCTGAGAGCTAGTATACCCTTTCCACAGACGTCAGCACTAAGGTTCCGAGGATTTGTCCCCTTTGTCCTGGGGCCTCCTGGTTCCCAGGTAGGACCTCTACCTACTCATGAATTCCAATTGGAGATGTTGAAGGTCGGAGAGCAGAGGTGGGTGGGTAGGATGTAGCTGTCTCCTGCTGTGCCCCTCCTGCCACACTCAGAACTGGGAGAAGGACTCACAGTTGGGGTGGAAGTACCAGGGTACCCAGGGCCGGGGTGAGATCTCATGAGTCCTCACACTCTTTCTAGGACCTGAGCTCTCCTTAGCGAGGTTTCTCTGGTCTCACCGGGAAGACAGGAGTGAGGAAGATGCCATACCTCCCTCACAGGATTTCATTTTACTACTCTGGGCCCAAGTGGTTTGTTTAAAAAGAACAACCCAGGTGCTCACTGGGTTGGAGCATCGTCCCATACACCCAAAGGTTGTGGATTAGATTCCAATTATGGGCACATACTTAGGTTTCGGGTTCAATCCCAGGTTGGGGCACATACCAGAGGGAAGCAACCATTTTCTCTCTCTCTCAACCTCTCTCTCCTTCCCTCCCTCCCTCTCTAAAAATCAATAAAAACATATCCTCTGTTGAGGATTAACAGAAGAAAATAAAAAGATAAGAGTGAAAAAAATAAATAAAAGGGGGGTAGAAAGTGTTAACTAATACAAAAAATGTTCTTTAAGCATCATTTTCAAACTTCAGATCTTTTTGTATCACTAATTGTTTATATATCCTCAACCGCCCACATTATTTCATGCTGTCAGTTCAAATCTAGTTACTTTTTAAAACTTAATCAGATATTTTTTAAAAAATGAAATCAATCCTAAGTGTCTGCTTTAATGTGCCAGGCATATTTTTCTTATTACTTTTAAAATAAATAGAAACAAACAGAAATAAATAAATACATAAATCTATATTTTTAAAAATAATGTTTTCCAAGTACCACCTAAAGTCATCTTGTTGGAAAACAATGATTTGGTGCAAACCCTCAACTTTGCACTGTTTCTTCCTCAAAAGCCCACCCATGGACCCTCAAGGATGGAACAGCCCAGGCCGAGGGGCAGGTACCTGGGGTTTAGAGATCATCACACACACTCAGGCCATGCACTTGCCTTTTACCTCAACTGGCAGACTCCTGCCTCCCTCCCTTCTCCAAGGCCACAGGACAGGTGTCCTGAGGGGCAGCAATCATGAACGCTGAGTGGGGAGATTCAGGGGGTCTCACAGAAGGGGGCATTGCTCCAGTCTTGGTGGGGACAGAGCTCCTGGCAGAGAAAGAGAAAAAGGTGAACTGAAGTCTTTCAAGCAGAGATAGTGGGTGGCATAAGCAAAGGGCAGGAGAAAGGGCGGTGGGCACTGCTGCCCTGCATTTGGGGTGCCCCTGAGGCTGAGCCCAGGTTAAAAAGGGACAGTCTGCTGGCCCCTGGCCCCAGAGCGTTGGCCTGCACAGTTTTAAATTTAAATAGCTTGCCAACTGAAAAATTGTGGGGATTTTTATCTAAAACACAGATCTTTGGCTTTTCCTATTTAAGATCCGTCCCCTTTCCTCAACTCCTTGTTTCCATAGCATTTAATGACCTTTGACCTTCTATAAACTCTGTGCTTAATTAGTTAGGTGTAGTGCCCCACTCCCCCATGTAAACTCCATGAGGACAGGGGTTTTGTGCTTCCTTTACTAAAATATTTCGGTATTAAAGACATGTGTCTGGCACTAGTAGGTGCTCAGTAAGTATTTCAGCAAATGAACAGTGGAGGTGGTGGGCTCTGGAGTGTAGGTCCTGGGGTTTCAGGGCACCGCCAGCCAGGAGGCCCTGGCTCCCCTCTGCCCCAGCCACACGGCCTCTCCCGCACTGATTTGGGGGCAAGAAGGAAGAAAGCCTGAGGCTTTGACTTCTGCTTTGGTCAGACTGGCAGGCGAGGCCCCCCGCAGCTCACGCAGGGTTCCGGACGCCAGGTGTGCCCCTAAATCCTGGCCCGCCTAGTTTATCCAGCAACACAGGGATGTGGGGGAGGGCCTTAGCTTGAGCCTCTAGGACCCCCGCCCCCTTCCCCCAGACGGGAGGCAGGGGGAGGGACCTAGGGGACCTAGGGGAGGACAGGGGAGACTTCACCACCAGAGGGCGCCCGAGCCAAGCCAGCCGCTGCGCTCAGTGCTGTTGGCAAAAGGCCAGGCTGGGAGGTGACCTGCTCCAGCTCTGCCTCAAAGAGATGGAGGCCAGTCTTCTCCACTGGATTGTCAGTTCTTCACCTGCAGAAACCAAGGCAGGGGGGTTCCAGGCTCCAGGCCCAGTGCCCGGAGTGAATGGAGAATGAGTGCAAGTTCACAGAGCATCTAATTGGGCGAGAAAAAGACAAAAGACACCCATCCCCAGGACTAGAGTCCTGAAGCTCTTGTAGGTTCCTGCCCCCTCCCCCCCCACTGCCCCCTCGGATGGCATCCCGCTGGAGAAGAGTCCCGGCCCGTGGGCACACCCACTTCCTCGGTGGTCCCGGTTGCTGGACTCCTCCAGGACAGAGGCCTGCCCCACTGCATGCTCCCTTGATGGACGTGGGGACAGAATCCACTCCACTATCTGGTTGTGCGGGAAAGGGCAGGAGACATGGCTGGAGCAGCCTGTGGCACCAGGAAGGCCCCAAACAGCGTTCTCCCCACCCCACCCCTCCCGTGGTGCCCGCCGCACCCCTTCCCGCTCCACCGCAGCTATCTCAGTGCCCATAGGGGCCGGTGGCCTGCCAGGGGCGCCTCCCTGCTGTTCTCCCACCAGAAAGGCCAATGCCAGGGGAGGGCAGAGGGGAAAGGAGAGGAGTTCTCCTCTTAGCATCTGGGTCCTGCAGGACATTCCCCGGAGAGGGGAGAACGCACTGATGTTCACAGTTATTCCTGGCCTCCATGTAATGAGTACCGAGGGCTTCTCCGTCGATTTCCTCAGTCTCACCCCCAGGAACTGTGAGTAGCCCATTTCTCGGTTGAGAAGACCAAGGCGCAAGGGGCTGAACTTTGTAAGAGCCACGGGCGATCTGCTTTCCGTCCTTTTGGTGGCACATCTTACCTAGAGCCCAGTTTTACAGTTGGGGAAACTGAGGCGGGGCTAGTAAGCAGTAGTGTGGGCTTGGGACGCGAGGGAGTTGCTCTGACTGCAAAGACGGTCTCGTGCCCTCTTAGGTCGAGCTTTCGGGGCCCCGCAGTGGGCCTGGGCAGGAGGTCACCTCGAGGTCCTGCACTCCAAACACAGTACACTCTTAGCTGCTGCATGGGATGCAGCCTTCCCAGCCGGCCCGCCGCCCTCCGCTCCTCCTTGTTTTTCTTTGCTTCTCATTCAGATCTCGCCTTTGCACTCAAAGTCTCCATCTGAGCAGGGGGAACAATAATGAGCCCTCAGGCCAGCCTCACTGCGCGGCCGGGTTCCTCACTGCAAGTCAGGCTTACAGAGCAGGGCCCATCGGCACCCGCGGAGGCCAAAGGCCTGGGCGCACCGCAGCCCCGGAGCGCCCCTGGCGCGGAGGAGAGGTGGCAGGGAGGGGACAGTTGGAGCGGCTCTGCGGACCGGACGCTGGTCAGAGCCCCCGGCGGTCGCAGCTTTGGCTTCGGGCCCGCCCCTCGCCGCGCGTCCCGCCCCTCCCCGTCCCGCCCGCCCCCTCGAGCCTCTAAAGCGTCGGGCGCGCCTCCCTGGCTGCCACACTTTCACTCTCCGCAGCCGCTTCAGCTCAGCGTCTGGCTTTGGTCCTCCCACAGCCGCCAGCCCGTGCCATGGATGCCAAGATCGTCGCCGTGCTGGCCCTGGTGCTGGCTGCGCTCTGCCTCAGCGACGGTGAGTGTGCTTGCGGCGGAGGCCGGGCCGGCACCTGGCTCCAGGCTCGGCTCAGGGCGCCGGGCTCCGCGCGGGGCCGCGACTCCTCTTCGTCCGCGCCGCCCGGAGCGAACCCAATGCAAACTGCTCTGCAGGGAAAGACGCTGCCCATTTCGCAGGGCGCGCTCCCTCCGGGTGCGGCGTCGAGTCCCGCGTGCAGCCTAGCGCCGGGGCGCTGCAGCTTTGCACTTCGCAGCGGGGCTCGGGTTGCGGGAGCGCAGAGCGAGGTTCTGCAGGACAGATAACTGGGTGAGCGCGCCGAGGGCGAGTTTCTGAGTGGGCGCCGGAGAGGGTTGGGGGAGTGGAACCGAGTTGGAAACCGAGGGGGGCGGGCGTACCTGGCCCTTGCCCATCCACCCCGGAGCTAGAGTCTTCCCGCGCCCGGCTCGCTTTCCAGAGGTCGGTGGGCTCAAGGGCTGGAGGTGCGATCGATCGGCGGGTGGTTGGTGTAGGAAAGAGCTCTTTGCAAGCCTGACAAAGCGCTTGTGGAGGCTGTGCGATCTGATGCAGCAGCTTGGCGGTCCCTCCGCGAGAGGCCGGCGCTCACTCTGCAGGCACCCGGTATGCGAGCAGCTGTCGGGTTTGCGCCACCCACCTGGCCGCGCTTCTACACAGCTCCGAGGTCCGAAGCGACGCGCAAACCTGGGCACGCACCCAGCCATGGCCTCCTTGTCTCTTCACAGGGTCCCTCTAGAGAGGCCCTGGGGTCATCACAGTCGCATTTGCCCATGTGCCCAAAACACACCTGCAGAAATGCGCCTTTGTGCAGCCAGGGGACCGGCCACCTCAGAATGAGCTCTGCCACAAAGTTCAATCGCCAAGGCCTTAGGCCATTGTGCGAGGTGGTGTCCAGTTTCACCGGGAGAGCGAGAGAGCTTTTTTCCTTTTGAAGCGTGAGAGAATCCCCCTGTCCTGCCACAGGACACCGCCGCTGCTGCAAACCAAATAAACTTGCAAAAAAACAAAAACAAAACCATGTTAGTAAGGCCTTGCTGCCTGTTCTGTTCTTGGCTGCGAAGTTTACAACAGACTCTGCAAAGGGACGAAGGACACTCCGAGTCAGTGGTTCTCAACCTTCTGGCCCTTTCAATACAGTTCCTCATGTTGTGACCCAACCATAAAATTATTTTCGTTGCTACTTCATAACTGTAATGTTGCTACTGTTATGAATCGTAATGTAAGTATCTGATATGCAGGATGGTCTTAGGCGACCCCTGTGAAAGGGTCGTTCTACTGCCAAAGGAGTCGTGACCCACAGGTTGAGAACCGCTGCTGAGTGCTCTTGGTGCCGCTGGGGTCTGTGCAGGACGCAGGCCTGGAGCACTGGGCTGGGTTGGGGGGAAGACTCCTGCTGCCTCATGGCAGGCCGTTTTGGGGGAGCCGGCCTGGGTAAGGTGAGCGCGCATGCAACTGGACCAGGCAGGGGGCCTGGGCTAATGGGTTCTTGGCTGACCCCTGGAAAGTGCTCTCTAACAGTGTAGCGAGTTGCTGGTCAGAGCTGCAGAGGGACCAGATCAAAGGCAAGTTAAAAAGTTTTTCCTGATGAAACAGTATCCTAGGCTGGGATCTCCACATTGACTCCCCAGGTCAGGGAGGCATTCTGGCTTGGGAATTAACAATTGAATGGTCTTGTGAGAGTGGAGGCGCCAGCACACACCCCTCTCTCCAGAGAAATGATGCTGCTCTAGCTGCAAAAAGACTGGAATGCAGGGACTCGGGTCATTGAATCCTGGGCATCGCTGATATGGGGGGTCGCTTGCCCCTCTTGGCAGCCAAGTGTCCAGTCCAGGGGGCTGGGCTCCAGGCTGGCCTGCTGCTCCTTGCATGCCCAGGCCAGGATGCATTTTTTTAAACTCCTGGGCCCCGTGTACCCATGCTGAGTACACAGCTGCTCCCGGAGATACCCTTGTGCAGGCTCAGGCGTGGGATCCTGCCCTTCCTCCCTGGCTGACCTCAGCCAAGAAGCTGGTGTTCTGGGTGTCCCAGCTTCCAGGGCTTAAACCGAGGGTGGGCCCCATTCCCAGGCTCGGTTGGAGAGTCTGGCCAGGGTCTTTCCCTTCATTAAAGTGGAAATTGCTCTGCTAACCGCTCTGAAATAAAGCGAAGGTCCCAACCCTCAGTAACAGCTGGGCTAGTCAGGTGTCTTTCTTGTAGGTGATGTCACACCCAAAACAGCTGGGGAAGTCAGGAATAGTGACAGGAAGCTGTAGGAAAGGACACAGTGGACGCAGCCGTGAGTTTTCTCCATAAGTGCACTTGAACTCTGTCACTTTAAAAAACTATTGAGGCCCTGGCCAGGTAGCTCAGCCAGTTGGAACCTCATCCTGATATGCAAGGTTACAGGTTCAATCCCAGGTCGGGCACATATAAGAATCAAACAATGAATGCATGAATAAGTGGAACGACAAGTCCATGTTTCTCTATCTCCCTCTCTCTGCCTTCTCTCTAAAATTAATAATCATAATATTAAACTATTGAAATTCCCCACTTGATAGACAGGCAGCTGGGTCCTGGGAGCAGGAATAAGAATTGCTTTGAAGGAATGGATGATCCCAGAGGGATGAAGGGAGGGAGAGGAGCACATGAGAAAACGTGTGTTTTGAGTCCAGTCTAGGCCTGACCTGCCCCGCGTGGAGCCAGGACACCTCCTTGGACACTGGAGAGCAGCAGCCCCCACCCCTCCCCCCGCAGCGCTCATACCATGCGCCTTCCAGCTCCCTGTTGCTTCAGGATTGAGACCTATCCTGGCTCATCTCGGTCCCAGCTCCTGCTCAGCTCAGCAGGACCCATGAGAATTCTAGGGAACCAGGAGGCAGGCTGCTCAGAGGGGGACCTGGCTGCCTAGCCCGGCCCTGGGCTTGCTTTCCAGGTGATCTGGTTACCAGGAAGGACAGAAGGGAGGTGTCTGTGCGGTTGCTGAGAGCCAGGCCCCGTCAGGGACTTTCTGGGTTTGATCTGGGTCCCTGTGAAGGCTGCTCCGTGCTCTCCTGCACCGTGAGTCCACTGAGCGCTCTGAACCAGGCTTTTTTCCTTCTGTTTCTCAGGATATTGAGTTTGGTTTAGGGGAAGGGGTCTGCTCTTCCAGGACTTGGTGGCTAAATTGGCCACCCCATGCCGTTTCTCAACTGAATGTAGCCTTTAGAAAAAAAAATGTAAGCAGTCCCTACTTTGCAAGCTTTCGTGTGGCTTCCCCAGCTCTCTTACCCCAAAGTGCACAACCTCAGAACCAACGGGAGATCTCTGGGAGCCCTGTAAACAAGACACTTAAAAAAAAGTCTCTGGACTAAATATTCTCAGACATATATTTAATCCCTGATGAAAGGATCCACAAACTCAAATAATTTGGGTTATTAAGTAGGGCTTGGATAAAATCTGCAGGAAAAACCCTCACAAATCCCAGCCTCCCAGGGCTTGCAACTCTAGACTTAAAGGGTAAGGGTGGGTTCGGCAGGAGCCCTTTGCTAATTTACACTAATGAGCGGCAATTATGGCATTTTGGAAATTGGTGAATGTGCAAACAAAGATGTAATACAACCCAGGAGGCCGTAGGGTCCCTGCAATGAAAGCCATATTTGACTCCACCCTGATAGTCTCCATGCCTCTGGGAAGGGCTGGAAAGAAGTCGGCCCTTGTCCTGTCCTCTGGGGACTCCCAGGTAGGAAGCCAGCCAGGATTCCTTTGTGGTTGCCTGGGCTTAAGGTAAATGAGGCGAGAAGCCTGCAGGGGGCGGGGGGTCCTGGAGGGCAGTAATCCCAGGAAGTGGGTGATGCTCCTGGATGAGGCCTGTGCCAGAGGAGGGAGGAGCGCTAGCTGGCAGACCTGGGTCTGAGCAGGGAAGACTCCCAGTTGGCTCTGGAGAGTTACTTTCACACAGAATAGCTGGGAACCTCGGTGCCTCTGACTGAAATAGTTCTGTCCCATGATTAACATCCTTTATCTTAAGAAATCTGAGCAGGGACTGCTTATTGTCATTTTCCCACCCTCCCTTCTCCTAGGGTCCATCTCTCCACAGGTCCTCTTGGCCGCTGGCCCTGGCGAAGTTGAGTCCGAGCCCACCGAGGAGGAGGTCTTTGCCAGGATGCACCAGTGGCTCACCCATCGCTCTCCATCCTACCGTCGTTCTACCATCCTTTCCCAGCTGCACACCCAGATACGTGTGCGTCTCTGAGGCCTGGCGGGATAATAACAAGCCACCTTGTTCTTATTACCTCTTATAGGGAAGCCGGTCAGCCTGAGCTACAGATGCCCTTGCCGATTCTTCGAGAGCCACGTTGCAAGAGCCAACGTCAAGCATCTCAAAATCCTCAACACTCCAAACTGTGCCCTTCAGATCGTGTAAGTCTGAGCATCATCCTCCGGGAATGTTGCATCTATTGGGCACAGTGACACCTAACTGGCGGGCTCCGTGAAGCTAGAGAAATGACACATGCCAAGTGTCCGGCCTTGAACTTGGCATAATTAGAGGCAGCTGTTATTACCACAAGGACTTTGAGTGCAGCACCAGGCAGGAGTTTCCAAAGTTGCCCTTCAGTGCCCTTCTGTGCCCACAGTGGCCCTTGCCTCTTCTTTCTAAGCATCTTCCCTCTGGCACAGGAAGTGGCCGTGCCTCTGGACTAGAGAAACACTGGCCTCCCCAAAGTTTGTGCTCAAGTTCAGTGGTACCCAGATTTGAACTTCCATCCACTCTGTCCCTGGGCTTACGTGTATTTCTGTCTTCCTTGTACTGTCAAGGTGATTCACCAAAACAAAAATCTGCGGTTACTCTCCAGTTACCCTCACAAGCTCCCACAACCTTGCAGATAGGTCCTACTTTTTTGCCCCTACATCTGGCCATAGGCTCCTTGCGTGCCCTGTGTCTTGCTCTTCCTTCTCAGGCTCTGTGCTCTGTTTCCCTCAAATCCCAACCCCAATGATTCCTATGGGGACTCTGCCATGCCAGCACCTGGCTCCAGGGAGGGGCCCACATGGGCGGCGGGTGAGCCGCTGCCCAGGTGCACACCCGCCTCTCCTGTCCTTGCAGGGCCAAGCTGAAGAACAACAACAGACAAGTGTGCATCGACCCGAAACTGAAGTGGATTCAGGAATACCTGGAGAAAGCTTTAAACAAGTAAGCACAACCGCCAGAAAGGACTTTCCACTAGAGCCACTGGAGGAAAGCTAAACCTGTGTGAAAGTCCTGAGAGGGCAGAGGTGTGGGGAGGAAGGCCTGATGGCGAGGGCCAGGTGTGCGCCTGGGGCAGCGCTTTGGCCTGGGCACGGGCGGGAGGTTTGCCCGGCATGTAGACATCTGCATTTATAGCCTATGGTACGATATCACAGCTTATATTCATTCACCCGGACCCTTGCACATTGGCTGTTTTACAGCTGGGGTTTTTCTGAGAAATTGTATTATGCCAACAGCATTTTCCACCAGTCACTTCCCCTGTGATCATCACAATCATCATCATTCTCGTTATCCCTTTTAAAATCAATGATTACTTAATATCTGTATTTGGTTTGCTTTGGATTTTTCCTCTTCTCCCCTGGGGAGTCTGGGCACAGTCAGGTGATGGCCAATCATGGAGCTCAAAAAAGTGGCCTTCCTCCAGAAGCGGAGGCATGGAGAGAGACTGGGGGCTCTGGTGGGGTGCACCCCTCCTGGAATGAGGGCCCAGGGCCGCCCTCAGACACTGGCCGTACTAGACAGCTGCCAGCACCCCCTCTTTCAAGCGCAGGGCATGGACCTCCGGGCTCCACACAGCAGCCATCACTGGGGACTGTGCTCAGACTCTCTCCTGCCAGCGCATGCTTTCACCTCGCTTCCGCTCGCTCGCATTTCCCTCCGTGCTCGGGGAGGGGGGTGACCTGGGGCTGCGGCCCGCAGCGCCCTCCTCCCCGTGCCCTCCCTCCTGCTCAGGCCCTCTGTGAGAATCTGCTCCAGCCTCCCCCAAAGCGGAGCTGGCCTCCCGGGGCGTGGGACCCATGTCCCCCCTTCCCATGAGAGACAAGTCTCTGCAAACCCAAATGCAGTTTCAACCTGAGAGCGTTCTTGGAGGAATCTGGTTTCAGTGATTGCCTCTGAGGCATGTGTGTGCCCCGGAGGCTCTGCAAATGCTAAGTTTTCTGAAACCTGAGGTGAAAATTAAATGAATGAAAGCACCTCTTACCACTAACTCCTGCTCCTGAAGCCACAACAGCTCAATCCAAGATGCTGGCAAGGGGAAATTTCCACCCATAAATGTGATCCACAGATGGGCCTGGTGGTGTTTGTAACGTTTTGCAAGGCATTTTTTTTATATATTTTTGTGCACACTTTTTTTTAAACATTTCTTTATAAGACAAATGTATTTCAGAATATATTTATAGTCAAACAATTCATACGTTTGAAGTGGAGCCATATGAATGTCAGTAGATACATTTCTCTATTATCTTAAGCTACTGGCAGTTTGTAAAGAAATACATAGAAATGTGATGGAAGCTTTTCAATGTTGGTCACAGTGTATTTTTTCACTTGTACTAAGATTGTATCGAATGTGACATTATATGCACTAGCAATAAAATGCCAATTGTTTCATGGTACAAGCATCCTACTGTATGTGGGAGTTTATTGTCCTGAAGTAAACCCGTTAGCTGTTAGACATGGCGCTCTTACACGTTTCCCGCCTTCATGACGCTGCGCCGGCCGCGGGTCAGGTGCCGTGGGTCCCTCCTGCCGAGTCCCCGTGTGAGAGCCAGCACACGGGCCTCGCCCAGGAGCAAATGCGATCTGCGACTCACGTTTTTGCGTTTGTTTTGTTTTTGTTTTTAACCCAATGGAAGCAGCGGTGCTAGTTTTCTGAAGAATAATATTTGACTCACTAATTCCTCTTCCCCTTCCTTCTCTTCGGTTCTCCTAACATCCCCACGTAATCTCTAGAGACTCAACCCTTATAATATCCAGCTCTCACATTTTCCCATGTACAACTCCCATCCTTCCAGCCCATGGTTCATATCAAGCTTTCCCAGGAACAGGTGGCCGTATCCCATAAATCATTAAATACCATTCAGCTTGAATCATTTTAATGTGACAGTCACGAGCCAGTTGCTCTAATAAAATTCTGCTAACCAGCTCTCTCCCTCATTCTTCAGAACAATCTCAGCCATTCCCAGGGGTCTCCACAGGCGTCCAGAAAGGAGAAGGTGGGATGCTGCTGCCTTCTCTCCTCCTGGCAGGCCTAGTAAACCCTGGGCTCGAGCCTCTGATGTGCAATGCAGAGATTTTTTATGTTAAACAGAGAGCTCAGCTCTGTGTTAAGAAGGAAGGAAGCCTGGGAAAGCAGGTGGGGGGAGACAGAGATGCAGTCCAGCCTGGCCCTGGTTAGTCTTCACACCCTTTTAGATGTGAATTCCTTTCCCCACTGCAAGCCGCAGGCAACAGGGGAGCCAGGGTCACGTTGGCAAATTGGCGATTGCTGTGCTCAGTTCACAGGTGTGGGGAAGCCTCGCATTTTTGTGAATCAAGGCAAATGTCTACTTTACTTCAATGAGGTGCTGATGGACAGGGCCTTGCCCAGGGGCCTCCAGGCCTGAGGACAGATGGCACCAGCCCAGGGGCCAGTGTTAATATTGTGCAGAGTGAGGCAGACTCCTGTTTATTTCAACGTCATTAATGGTTCTACTAATTTTATCTAAGGGGGCGCAGAGAAGAAAAAGTGGGGAAAAAAGAAAAGATAGGAAAAAAGAAGCGACAGAAGAAGAGAAAGGCTGCTCAGAGGAGGAAGCACTAGTTTCTGCCGCCCGGAGCTGGACCGCAGTGCACGCTGTGCTTCCCTCCCAGCGCTTTGTAAATTGGCTCTACCCTCCTCAGAGCAGGCCCCGGCCTCCGGGGCGCTCGGACTCTAGGGGAGCAGCGCTCTGCCATCGCTGTGGCCATGCTGGCCCTGCCTGTTGTGCTTACTGAGACCCTCCTGGTCTGCTAAATTCTGAAGACAGTAGTTGTGCAGAGACTGAGGTTGGGGTCCGGGACGTGGAGACCCTGCTCAGGACCCTCTAGAAGAGCCCGGACTCTATCTAGAGTGACCTGGGTCTCCATCATCCCCCGGGTTTCTGAGCCTCCCACCTGCCCTTCACGCCCTCCCTTAGAAGGCCCATGAGCCCTCCGGGGCACACCTACAGGCTGCTCCTGTCTGAGACCAGCATGTGCCTGCCTGGCCACCACCCAACGCAGTCTGCTCGCCCAGCACGGGCCCCGGTCAACAGGGGGCATGTGCCTCTGCCCTCTCATTGCTGCCAGTGGGGCTGCCCAACCAGGCTTTCTCAGGGCAGAGCTGGCCTGGCCCTTCCATTCGCAGTGATAGAGGACTCCTTTGCCCCTGTCCCTTGCCTGGCCCTCACCTCTGCCCCCGGGTGGACTTCTCCAGCCCCTTCCCCAGGCCAGCTGTGTGAGTGGCTCCCCCTCCAGGCTCAGGTGGGTCTCTGTATGAGGTGCTTCTCGGTGCGCCGGGTAATTTATTTTGTAGATTCCTTACACGGGTGTGGAGGCCCTCTGTGAAGGGCCGGCAGCTCTGGGGCTCCTAGCTCCCCTCCCCCTCCTCTGGAAGAGTCTCCGTGACCCTGCGGTTAGGTTGCAGGACGGACACAGCTGCCTCAGTTCTCACTCCTGGGAAATATCTGCTTAAAGAGACAAGGTTTAGATTCTAGAACTTCACTCACTGCCCTCCCTACAGAATTATGTCTGAGATTTCTTGCCAAGTCTCTCTAACTCGGACCGGAAGGAGGGGGTCAGGGGGGAGAGCAAGGCCCCGATGTCAGCACTGCTTTGACAAAGGATGCCTTGCCTATCTGCCCTTCTCCCGCTCCCAGAACACATAAACACACCCACACCCCAGCCCCGGTCACAGTTTCATCACATGGATCCAGAAAGATGCAGGGGATGGAGGTCAGAGCTGATGGGTTTCAGGAGAAGAGAGTGCAAGGCGCCTGTGTGTCAGACTCCCCTGTGTCCCGGTTCCCTCTCCCCTGGTGCTCTAAGGTGCCCTGGGTGGTCACAGCACAGAGCACCGCAGCTTCCCTTTGCCACTGGAGAGGCGTCTTTGCATCCCTTCTAGCTGGCGAAGGCTCCCAGCCTCGCTCCTGTTGCCAGCACAGGGGCGGTAGGCCTGTGTTTGGACGCGTGGGGGCTCACATCCTCCTCATCCACTCCCCTCCCGCCTCTGAGGCATCTGGATGTTCACTGGGTGGTCAGCAGGAAGCTGGTTGGGGGAGCCTGGCTGGGCTGCTCCTAATTTGCACATGCGCCAGCGAGACAGAAGAGCAGACCTGTGCCTCATGCTGTCCTTCGCTCTTTACACTGTGGGAGCAGCCACCTCTGCTAGAGAGGGTGACAGGTCCTCCCTGAGCACAGGAGCAGCTGCCCTTCAGCAACAGGTCAAGCTGTGGCCAGCCTGTGGTGACAAACCAGTGCTCAGGGGGACAGTGCCCCTCCTGTCCTGGGGAGGGGGCGCTGCGGGGACTAAGGGAGCTGGCCCAGGGTTAGGACCTGCAGGCCAGCATCATCCGGCCCTTACACAACTCCACTGGCCCTGGGCTTCACTGTGTCTGACAAGCAGGCACAGCCCCGGCCCCGTGGAAGGGTCCTGGGTGGCTGGGGAAGAGCCGAAGAGCCGGGCCTCAGTGCCGAGCCGGGCTGACACTGGGCAGTGTCCACGTGTCTGCCCCAGGTGAGTGGTGTGTGAGGTCTGCAGTGGGCGAAGGCCTGTCTTGTCCTGTGGCCTCTGCACCAGTCTGGCTCCGTGCCCTCATTCATCTGCCACGATCATGCTTCTGCCCATCTTTCCTCTCCCCCTCCCACCTCCCTGTCACCCTGTGCTTCGCCATGGCCATGCTGTCTCTCACCGCCCTCCCCTCCCCGGGGCCTCGGAAGGGAGGTCAGGAGCTGCCGCCGCGGTGGGCTGGGCGCCTCATGCGAGGCCGGGCCTCTGTGGGAACCTGCCTTAATGGTGTCTCCCTCTCTTCTTGTTAACAGGAGGTTCAAGATGTGAGAGGCGCAGGCTGGGTCAGCGCCCAGGAGGCCTCCCGGTGGGAGGCCGGGCGAAGCCAGTGTTAGAAAGGGCCCCTTGGTCTCCTGGCGCAGCTGGGCAGGGCCCAGTGCGCTCCCAGGGCTTGGTTTTGCACAATTTACCTTACTTTCACCGTTTGATTATGTAGCAAAATATATTCGGATTTTTTTTTTCATTTAGCTCAATTATCCAATGTCACTGGTGACAAATAGGAACTTAGATAAAAACCATTATTTTCTGTGCATTATTGTATCTGTAGCATGGAGCCCCGGTCTGACTAGGGGTCCCTGAGTGTTGTATGCCTCTGAGCTGCACAGGCTGGGACCCAGGCTGAGGGGCAGAACCACCAGGAGGGTCAGGACCCATTTGCACAGGCAAACCCCAGTGAAGGCGGCCACAGGGGGCGGGAGGTAGGTTCTAAAGGGCCAGGCAGGGGCTTCCAGGCCAGGGCAGGGCCTCATCCGCGCTCTCCTCTCCATCTCATCACGCTCTTCGCATCATCCTCTCTCTCATCCATCACCATGTGCATCTGAGACTGTCTGTGACCCGGGAAGGACTCTCAAGACTAAAGCTTTTGTTTAAACTGGGCCTCAAGAAACAAACCAAAGTGTATTCTGTTACCAGGTCCTGGAAACGCTGTGCACATCTGTGTCTACTTTGCAATATTGTCTGTTGTCTGATCCTGTTTTCTTGTTCAAAGCCGTGTCCTCAGTGCTGCCTTGTCAGTTCCCCACATGCAGAGGCTGAGGGAGAGGAGCTGCTGGGGGGCCTTGAGCCCGGCCCCTGGTTAGGGCTGCCATGATGCTGGTGGGGTGGCCTTGTTTTCCCCACTGAGCACAAAGCCGTGGCGGATGGACAGAGCCCCAGGGAAGCCAGTGTGCAGCAGTGCTGACCTCCAAGGACGCGGACCCTCACATTTCCATAGGTGGGGATAGCTCAGAGCTACAGATAGTTGTGTCTTTATTGGGTCAAGCCAGCATTGTTTTGAGAATAACAGAAATAACAAGAAAAAAATTGTTATCTTGGTTTTGAAAACACAATCCATAAAATACTTCATCGTGGGTATTGTTTTCCTGATTAAATCTGACCTCATCTCTTCCCCATCGGGCAGCCCATCATGCCTCACCTGCCTGTGGCCCTGGGCACCATTGCGCCCGGGAGGCCCACCCCGGCCTCCCTCTTAGATGGACGTGCGGGAAGTTGGCGAAGAGCCCTGCTGCTGCTGGAGATGTTTCCCTTTGCTGAGGGCATTTTGTGGAATTACATTAAACAACTTAAAAATTTCACTTTTTAAAAAGGGAGGCACTGAGGGGGTTTTGCTTGTTTTGTTTTTTATTTGGTCTCACTAATACTTTTCCTCTTTGATTGAAGATCCAGTGAAGTTTTTAAAATTAAGAAAGTGGAAAAAAAGAAGGCAAAACAAGGGATGTATCCATTGACAGGCCCCTGCAAACAGCATGCAGGAAGTACGTTACAGGGAAATGAATTTGAATTGTAGGTGTTTGTAGATTTAATAATCGTTGGATTATCAGGAACAGGTGTTAGGCATTTCCATAAGTATTTCTTAAAAGTGAATCTTCATGCTACAAAGCCATTCCATCAACCAAACAGGTATTCACCTCCTCCAAGCGGCTACCTTCTACTGGAAACATACAGCATGGGGGCCTTTATCAGTTATAAGGGAGACAGGACTGGTTTCTAAACCCTCTTTTAAAATTAACCTGTCACTACAGGGCTCCTGAATTATACATGAAATTATTATTGCATTTTCAGCAGGAGGCTCGTTTTCTAGGTATTTAAAAACACTTCCAAGATAGTTAAAAACTCCCATGGAAAATGTGGAAGCATCTTCCCCGGAATCCATGAGCCAGAGCCACTACACCCCTAAGTCAGAGGAAATAGGGCCCTAAATCTTGACTGCAGTTTAAAATATAGAGTCATTTCTGTGTCTCCTGACAGGAGGGGAAATAGGTAAGAGTAGAAACTGCAAGGAAAATTATTTGTGTAACAACTTCTGTACCTGCAATCTGCTCCTGAAAGGAGACGTTCCGCCTAAAGCACACACATTTAAATAGTCCCTTTGCAAAGGAAAGGCTCTCCCTCTTGCTTTCAAAACTCAAGTCAAGTGCATCAGGTGATCAGGGTCACCCAGCTGTTCCTCCAGGCCCAGCGCTGCCTCTACCTGACCTTCCCTCGGGCTCAGCATAACCTCCAGGGCAGCCCTTCCCCGCCAGCCTCTGCATCACGTGGGGTGAACTCTGGGGACTGGGGCTCCCTTGTGTGCTGTGTGTTGGAACCTGAATCTGTGCCATGTGTTGTTCGTACTGTTCTTTGTCCTGCTCTGGCCAGGTGCTGAGAACCCAGCGAGGAGCCTCAGAAGGAGCCCCTGCCTGTCTGAGCAGAGGGCCTGTGTAGCAAAGGCCGCTGCGCCCCTGGGCGTCCTGAGGGGGGTTCGATGGCACCTTCCTTTTCTGAATACTGCCTGGTGTGGCCACACGGGCCCCCTCACTGGGACTGCATCGCCCTTCTCAGGGATGTGCCCTTCTGCCGCTGGATGAGATTTGTGGTGTCCTCGCCCCTCCACACATCTTCTCTGACCCTTTCTGAGGGAACCCACCCCGGGAACCACCCATGTCCTCTCAGCAGACCACTGACATAGCCGAGTTGACAAACCCCACAGGGAAGTCCTTAGTCCCCAACCTCGCTGGACTCTCAGCCCCTGAGCAGGGATGGGTTCAGTGTTCAATGTGATAAATACTGTATCTTGTTTTGTTTAAATTGCATCTCCCAGATAATGTGAAAATGGTCCAGGAGAAGGCAGCTTCCTGTCTGCAGTGTGCTTTCTTAATAAGTAACAATTCCTTTTGAGAAACAATTTCTACTTTCATATCCATGAAAAGATGTACTGTATATGCACTTATAATTGTTCTAATAAAGACATGTACTCAAAATGCAGCAGCCGACCAGCTTGAAAATTAGTGTTAGCATTTGGAGTTTTCCGGACTTGGTTTTCCTCCCTCAGGCCCCAGGGGCATGTAATTCTAGCTGCAGTGGTGAGTGGAAAACAGGCCATTGTAATGCTAAACATGAGCCAGAGGTCTGGGAGCTCACCTGCCCCCCTCCTCCACTGACCCTGAGCTGGGAAAGCTGCACCCTCTCCCCAGGTGTCCTTGGCTTTGCTGGAATTCCCTCTTAAAGACAAGGCAGCCCTCTGCTCAGAAGGGATGGCTTTGGGCGAGGGCCCTGGTGTTTGCTGGCTGCTGTGGGAAGGAGACCTCCACCCTGGGCTTGTCAGGCTTTAGTGGGAGACAAACAGGCCCGTCCCTGAGGGCCCTGCCAAGGACCCCGCACCAGAGCCTTTCTTCCTGCACAGGGGCCCTCTGAAAGCCAGGCCCTGACTCTCTCAAGGGCTGCCCTACACCATCCTGGACTCTGCACAGCGCTGACCGGCAGGGCTCTGTCCTCACGGAGGTCAGCCCTTCCCACTTTCTACCTCATTCTCTCTGGTCCACAGTCAACCATGCTGGGAAGGAAGGCCCACACAAACACCACCGATGTCTGAGCCCAGGGCGTTCTGTCCTCCAGACCCTCTTGTCCCAGGCTCAACGCGACCGCGTCACCACTGAGCCCAGATCCTCCCTCCTATGTACAGGGTGACCACAGTGTGGTTGCCAAGGTGCAGGATGGACCGGAGGACCAGAGAAGGGTTAGAGGAGGCCACAGTGAGCCGCATCGTGGTGTCCTGAGACAAGCGTGGCTGTGAAGGCTAGTAGGCCAGTGCTTGAGTCCTGGTCTCTCTGCTCACCCTGGGATTTGAGACACGCCCCTTGCCTTGAGTCTCAGTCTTGGTTTCCAGCTGCAACCCTAGGCTTAGTAGCACCAGGAGACATGAGGGTTAGACTGGAACAGTGTGCATGGCAGCCATTTCCCCCCTCTCTCAGCCTGCTGTCCCCTAGGGTTCACCGCACTGGAATCAGTCCACACCTGCCTCTACTTCGACCTCAGCGAAGCTCAGACACCAACTAGCTATGAGTGACTCAGCTTGAGCTTCTCACTCTCAGCTGACAGGTGGGGAGAAGCCTCTTGGTTGGGGTTTTGTAGGTTCCCGAGAGCCTGTGCCATGCTGGTCCACACACTCTACCACTGTTCTAACTCTAGGAATGAGCAATCTCTGGGTTAACTTTTCAGAATGAGGTAGACTCTTCACAATGACGTAGCATCCTATATAATAAAGAGCTAATATGCTAATTAGACTGAACAGTAGAATGACTGTCGGCAACCTTCCAGACAAAGCTGGGGGCTGTGAGGGCCGAGACCTTTGCATGAATTTCTTGCATCGGGTCTTTAGTTAAAAATAAAGTCCCTGGTCTTTCATGCCCTGCAAGGCTGCTGGTCCTTACTGTTCTAGTCAGCTGATATCTGCCCTGCCAGGCCTGTTTTAGGTGGTGTGGAGACTTCGGTGGACAAGATAGCTTCCTCTCTGACTTCATGGACCTTGCAGTCAGGGGGTGGACTTACAGCTCAGTGAGCATTTTCCTAACACATGCTAAGGGTGGGGAAGGAGTCAGAGAAGATAGAATGCCATCCAGCCCCGGTGAAGCTGAGCCCGGAGGGGAACAGGTTCTTTTGGGGGTGACCTGACCCACAGGGACTGCCAGTGAGAGCCCATGTGAGGCCGAGCTCTGAGTTAGAAATAGGAGTTACTTCTGCCAGAGGTGCAGCTCCCATGGGAGCCCAGTTTTCTGTCCAGGAGCACCGAGCTGGGGTTCAGACCTCTTCGGGGCCCTAGGCTTCTCTGCTTACAGCTGAGATCCTGGATAGGGAAGTGTGGGTAGTAGAGACAGAGGAGCAGAGGGAGCTACAACTGGATGAAATGGGTTTGGAGAGAGAAGTGGGGTGAGAGACCTGTTAGCTCTAGAGGGAGGTGAGATGGGGCTGCTCACAGGGGAAAGGAGTGGCTGGGAAGGTCCCTTGAGTGGTCCAGCTTTTGTCCTTCTCTTGGGGTCTGTATATTCTAAAAAATTCCTGATTGAAAGCTAAAATGAGGATTTCTGCTCATTGCACCCACATATCCACACTAGGGGCAATTAGGCAGGCAGAGTGGACAAGGCAGGTGGGGCAGAAGGAGGCCTTGGGCTGGTGCACACAATTATATTGGAGACTTCCTACCCCCTTTTCCCTTTCCAGCTTCCCCAAGGGTCTTTTTGCCTATTTTCTTGGTTTCAATTGAACTCCAAGGAAAGACCATTCAGAGATGTGCCTGCTGCCCTGTTAGGATTGGTAAACAACTCAGAGGCATCCCCTAGAGCCTCCCCATAAAAGGTACACAGATTTGGCTTACTGCCTAGATGCTCTTCCCCCCTTGAAGGGACCCATCCGGAACCAACCCAACTTGCCCAACATCAGTTGTGAGATGGCTGGACCATGCCAGCCTGTGGGGCGCTCCGACCCAGCTCCAGGTGTGTGGAGGGGTCATGGGGTCTGCCCCATGGGCTGTGCATCCCATGAGGAAAACAAACTGGGACAAGCAGTTATAGGCACATCCACCCCTGGGGCAGCCCCTGCCAGGCTGTAAGCTCCGTACTGTCTTACTGGGGATGGGGAGCTTTGTTCCCAGTGCCCTGAAGAGTGCTTGTCTTGGTGGGGGCTTAATCAGCATTTGAGGAGCAAGCTGATTCCTCAGGGTGAGAGGCATCCACAGGCCCTTTGGGAGGCAGCCACCCGGCAAGCCACAGCCAAGCCCTGGTGCTCCTACCTGACGCTGGAGCTACTCTCAGATTTCAAGGAGGTTGCTCTAAGTTCTCAGGAGTTAACATTTCCTTTAGAGCAAATGAGTTGCATCTAAACTCTTGGCCCATGAAACTAAACAGAAACAAAGCAGAGTGAAGCCTCTTACACTCTTGGCCCTTCTGTTTCTCCTGTGAACAGAGGGGGAGAGAGGAGTGGCAAGAGGTGCTCATGGAGTGGGAGGCTGAATGGGAGGAGCCCTGGACTTGTAGTGAAAGTGAGTCTCTGCTCATTGCTGGGCGATCCATCCCCGTGAAGTCTAACTCAGTCACTCTACTCTGGCACCTCTACAGCTGACAAGCGCTCAGGAAAAGTGCATCTCTGCTGTCTGGTCTCTTTGAATTCGTGACACTCGCCAGCAGTGCATCCTCAGTGCTGCCGGGATCTTCCCGCACAGCTCTGTCCTGTTTGTTCCTCTTTTAGGTGCTCATCGCACACTTTCTTCTCTCTCTCAGAGCCACAGCTGTTTTTTTAGAGAGAGGGAGAGGGAAAGAGAGAGAAACATCAATGTGAGAACAAAACATTGATCAGCTGCCTCCTGCACGCTCCCCACCAGGGATCAAGCCCCAACCTGGGCATATGCCCTGACCAGGAACTGAACCGGCAACCCCTCAGTGCATGGCATGATGCCCAGCCTGGTCTGCCTTCTATGTCAGAATAAAAGGGAGTCATAAGAATGGGATTCCCATGGGCTTCGCCTCTCATCCACTGTCTGTTCAATCTGTATCCACCGTCTCTGCCATCACCCGCATGAGCGCCGTGGTCCAGGCCACCCTGCACTGGGAAGTGGAGCCCAGGACGCCTCACCTTCCCAAGGACATCTCTCCTGACTCCCCCTCTCTCCGTCACCAGAATTATGTTTTACTTTCTATGTCAACACACAAACATGCATATCTCCCATCCCCATTTCTGCAAATGACAATTCTATCCCTCAAGTTGCTCAGGCTGAAACCGTATAGTCATCTTTATTTTATTCCCTCACAGCTCTGCGCTAAACCATTAACAAACCCAATTAGTTATCTTAAAAATATACCCAGAACCCAGTCACTTCTCATGGCTACCATCTTGGTCCAAGCCACAGCTGTTTTCTACTTGAATCTCTGCACTAGCCCTTGAGCTGGCCCTTTGTCAAGTCCTGGGAGATCCTCTCCACAGCAGCAGGAGTGTAACCCCTACTCAGACCTTCCAGTGGCCAACAGAAGTTACACTCCCTGCCCCCCGTCACCTATCTGACTTCACCCCTTTTCTGTGCCAGCCGCACTGGCCTCCTCTCCCTTGAACAGGTCAGGCCCACCCGTGGCAGAGGTCTTTTGTACTGGGTGGTCTCTGCCTAGAACTATGGTTTACCTCCTTCCTTCCTTTAGTCTACACTCACCAACACCTTCTTAGAAAAGTCTTTGCAGACTTCCCTGTCCTGAACAGCAGCCCCCCTGCCTGACATGCCCTGACCACCTTATTCTGCTGCTCTCCTCCCTAGCACACCTGTCATGTCTACTTGTTTGTTGACTGCTTCCCCACAAAGAGGACTAATAGCAAATGCTGGAAGAAAGGGGCTTAGTCTGTTTTGCTCACTAGTTTTCTTTGTGAATGGCACTCTGAAGGCACTAAAGAAATATTTTCTAATGCTTTCCCAATAAATTAACAGGATGTTAACACATTGGAACCCTTCTTTGCTCATCTCTAAAATAAAAATAGCTAAGTTCATCACACAAGACTGTACACTTATTTCCATACTCAGGGTCACACTGGTAAGTCATTACTTGGACCCAAATTCATCTTACTCCAATGTTCATATATCAGGGGTCACACACACTGCCCCTTTTCTAGAATCCTCTAGGAATCTCCAGAACGTGACAAAGGATAATGGTTCTTTTCATGTGAGCCAAGATTAAAGACTAACTCATCCCACATCATGCTCAATGGTGAAAGACTGACAGCTTTTCCTCTAAAATCAGAAAAGACAAAGGAGCCTACTCACACCACTCTTATTCACATAGTACTAGAAGTCTCAGCTAGAGCAATTGGGCAAGTAGGAGAAATAAATTATCAGGATTGGAAAGGAAGAAATAAGATTGTCTCTATTTGCAAATGACATGGTTTTATATATAGAAAATTCTGAAGACTCCACCCAAAAAATTGTTAGTTTTAACCAATTAATTCATTTATTGGCTTACTC